ACGGCTCACGCCGCCTTGGCATTCGCTGGGTGGTGATTCCGCAGCCTTGCCATGACCGGGGCTGCAGGTGTAGGAGCGGAGCTGGGTGAGATGGTAATTGCATAGCGAGTGCGGGCGGTGCGCCGGCCGCTTACAGTGCCAACCTTTGCCGTCGCTCTTCTTGCAGCTCAGAGAGGCCTCCGTAGCCGCAACTCCGCCTTTTGTTTGGAGGACATTGCCTTTCTTCTTCTTCTTCGTCATCTTTGCCCCGTCCTTCTTCCGTGCTTTCTCTTCTACCTTATCCCCCGACCACTTCATGCTTGCTTCCCTGCCAGAAGAAGCATCGGCTTCCGGCATGAGAATCTACAGCTGCAATGCGCCGCTTTTCCAAATGGTTTGCGGAGCCGAGCACAGGAGAAAGGAGAGGGGGAGGAAGAGTACAAGTGCTAGGTTTGATGCTTACCTCTTGAGAACGCAGGATACTGCAGCGGCATCATATTTGATTCGATTTCCAGGATTACCCCTCGGCTCGCCCACTTCAGCTTTCACGCCATTTCCCAGAATGCCCCCGTCGTCCTCCTCTTCTTCCTGCCATCGGTGTCAGGTCGAATCCCCGTCGAACCGGGAACAAAAATCCGCAGACAAAGAAAGAAAGAAAGTCGAAAACTTGATCGGAGCGACTGCGTAGGACTTGGGAGTGCTCTATTGTGATCGATCGAGCAACTAGGGTTTCCATGTCTCTGAATTAATGTCCTCTTCTTTCTCGAATCGAAAGCGGAGCTTCCGCAAATAAATACCAGCAGAAGATGCAGAAAGGCAACTGGCATTGCCTCCCGACATCGACTACTGTTCCACTACTCGCAACCGGATTTATTTCGAGCATTAGTGGAGACGGGGAGCAAGAAGGAACAAAAAACCCTAACTGTTGTAGGAAGCATCACCTTCTCGACAAAATGCGAGGAGTAGGACAATAGGCCGCAAATAATCGAAATTTAGGGTTTCCAAGCTGATTCAGAAGCCGAAAGGAAGGGGTTTTGAATCCAAAGGAAAGAGACAAAGAAGGTTGGAAGGGTGGATCTTACCGGATCACACGCAGCTATGAGCTCGAGGCACATCGGATCATCCCATGGGGACCGGTTCAACTCGCAGAGGAGGCCCGCGGCGGCGGAGGAAGAAGACGCTTCGGAGTCCCACGACAACGTCCGGGGCGGCGGCGAGGAGTTGAGCCCGGCAGTGAGTCGAGAAGGAGAGCCGGCGCGCCGCGTGCCCAACAGCTGGGAGGCGCATTTCCGAATCCGCATGGCCGATCGACAGCCGCCGAGCTGATTGCAGAAGGAGGGAGCACGGATTTGGGCGGCGCGGCAGGAATCAGTCGGGTGTGGTTATGGCTTCCTTCCCTCTCTCTCTCTCTCTCTCTCTCTCGCTCGCTCGCTCGCTCTCTCGATCCCTGGAATACTTCTCTTTTACTATTAATCTATTAGGCTTTTCCATCTCAAACGATGATTTGTTAGAGCAACACCTGCCCTATATTTACCCAAGCAAACACCTGTCTATCGATTGAACTACGGCACCGGGACCCATTCCTAGGTCATCCTTTTTTAGGGTGCTGGCTAAGTGGGGTAAACTGCAGACAGATGCAGAGATTTTCTAATGCATGATGGAAGGGAAGTTTTTTTTACCGGAATACCCACAGGACTTGTCTCAAACTACGAGATTGGCCTCCGTCCCTCCTCGCGATGCCAGATAGGATCGTAGGATGCCGTACAATATGCGAGTTCATTAGTAGCGGTGGCTCGAGGACGCCAGTTGATGGGTTTGTGCTGAGCTCGTCGGCCCATCGAATGGTATGACGGTAATTGTTGGCCGGAAAGCAGCCCATCAGTCGTGTGTGCGTCCTCAGTTGGATTGGGTGCCACCTGCAACCGAAGAGCTCATGGTCACATAAGATAGAATGATAAATGTTTGGATTTGGTGATAAAAATCCTAAAAAGTTCAGACATTAAGAAAGAATTTAATATATATCACCTTTAACCTACCTAATACTTATTATTATTATCGTATCTTTCGAAATAATCCGAAATGGATGAGTCCGAGAGTTGACCAAGACGATGACTAACTGATCAAATAATAATTATAGAAAAGAAAAATCATTTGACATAACTTGTTCGTTTAGTAATTTGCAAATGCAGATTTTTTGAGGAAATTTTTTTATCACATTTATTGCTTTCATGTACATGTATATATATATTCTCTATACAAACATTAGAACATAAATAAACTATGCTGTATGCAACTAATTACCAACCACCAAATGGGCAAATATAATCTTAATTTATGCTTTAGGATACTTTGTGGTTAAATTGAAAAAAAAAAGAGTATTTTTTTTTGGAAAAATAAGCTATCAAAATTATTTTTCTATATAATTTACACTTTGATATTCGTTTGTTTTTCTTATGAAATGGTTTTTTTTTCGAATAAGAATTAAATATTTGCACATTATTATTATTTTTTATACCGTAATCTGAAAAAGAAAATGAGGTTTTATCGTAAAGCATCGTATTTTTAAGGTTTTCTAATATTCAAAATACCGATCATTTCTTACCACATGAAAAAAGGGGTAATGTTGATTCTTGCTTTTATAAGAGAAGAGTTGCTGTCACTGCTGAGAATTAAGCGTCGTGTGGGTTTTCGCATGAGCTGCTCGTTGGCGACTGCGACATGGCCTGGTTTCCTTGCATCCGCACGGCAATTGTTCGATGTTATGTCCAACAGAATCATTGTTCGTTTTAGAATACTGGTGTGGTGAGTCGTTCTCCAATCAGTTTGCTAGCTTCTGGAAAACTAGGTTTTGGTGATTCATTGTGAATGGATTCGGTTTTTCGCTACTTATCTAACAGGGAAATACTAGTCTCGTCAAAGCTTGACTGCATAACGTCAGTACGCTTTCTTGGATTATGTCCTGTCTTGTTAGGGGAGCAATTGGTTGTCTGACAGTTAATTCTGGCTGCCCTTATCGATGTATCCAAAATGTCGTTTCCTCAAAGGATACTTTGATGGGATCATTTTGAAAGACTTGGTGTTGTTGGGATTTAGAAGGCAGTCTCATTGCCTGGTTGTGAAATTGGCTCTTGGTACTGATGTAGTTGGAATGCATTGTGATAGATGATGCTCGCCAGGTTTTCGATGGAATGGTTGCTAGAGACGTTGTCTGTTACAATGTTATAATGTAGGTTATGAGACTTGATGAATCAACACTTGCTAGTATTCTCAGCTCCTGTGTCGCTGTGGCAGCAATCAGTGAGGGTATAGATGTGCATGGTTATGATGTAAAAATGCAGGTTTGAAGCTTCTGTGTGGATTGAAAATTTCTTTATTATTGCTTATGAGGATCCACAATGCACCCATGCATATCTTTGATATCTACACCTGTTTTGGTGGACTAGCTTTCGCTGATATTCTTACACCTATATTGGATTAGCTATTCATGCAACAAACATGTTATCCCTACAGAATTGTATTATCCATGCTTCCTCTCTGCATGCAGTCATGCTGGGCTTGTAGATGACCACACCATTTCAGTTCTATGATGATAATGGATTATCAAATGTATCCAAGATCAGAATAGTCTGCTTGTCTAGCTGATCTGCTTGGTAGAGCTAATATGCCGTGTCAGCCTGATGAAAATATTCTTGGAGGCATCATATCTGTGTGGAGGCAAAACAAATCAGTGAATTATATGCTCTTGTCAAAAATCTATGTAGCTGAAGGTTGTTGGGTGGATGTGCAAAGGGTGAGGATGAGGTATATCTGTGGCATTGAGATGCCAGGCTTTAGTTGGATTGAGATTGGCAGCACAGTTCACATATTTGTCTCAGTTTGTAAGTCACATTTACAAACCCTATAACTGTATACATGTTGGGAATTATTTGCGTAATGGAGATGGAAAGTTACATTTTAATGCATTCATGAATGAGGAGCTACAGGACTGATTCAGAGCTAATTTTTTTCCAGTTATCTCTGCTTTAATGTTGAGCATGATATCGTTGAACAAGGCTTTCTGGGTTCGTCCCACTACAGTTGCTGCATTTTTTTCTTCAGAAGTTAGCTAAGCTTTCTTGAAGCTTCTTTTGGTAGCCGTGTGTGCAGTAGCCAGTTTTCATGTTCATGAAGTAGGTAGTAACTAGCTTATGTTACGCTAGCTTTTGCCACTCAAGTTGCATTGCAACACATGAAGAGATTTCTGATCTGCAAATCTTGCAAAGTTCTATGTTTGTTAGATCATTCATTTTAAAATGAACGCTCAGGATTAATTTTTGTCATGACATCGGTCGCATACTATAGCCGCTTGCCTTTTGTTGTAGCATAGATGTTGATATTCTAGGCAAATTCAACAACAAAAATCCTGTTGAGCAATCTAAGTAATTATTTATATTAGACTTGTTCTGGCTCTTTTTTCCATTATCTTGTTGAAAATGGTAGTGCTTCTCTATCGTCCTTTGGAGGATATTTTCTTTGTTTCTTTCAGCTCTCAGGTTGTGTTTTTCATCAATCAGGCCAGAGAACCTTTTGGAAAAATAATATACTTCTCCTGAATTTGTGACATGCATATGATCCAGGTCGGGCTCAGCATCTCGTCGGCGGGAACCAGGATTATTATGATTCTTTCTTGAATATTTTCAAAAAGGCATGGATGTTATAGGCCACTTTGGCAATAACAGAGTTGATTGCCTTCTCCCATCTCCTAAAGCTGCAAAAACAAGGTCAGTTCGAAAATCTCAGATGAACTCATACTTTACTGCCAAAGTAAATATCCACGACAATTACTATTCACCATGTATAACTCCATAAGGGTTAGTATCCCTGTGATCATGCAATCGACTAATCATTTTGCATATTGGTTGTTTATTTGTTCCTGTGCTTGTTGTTTCATGAATGATTGCCACGAAATACTCACCTTTGTACGGTATTGTGACACCAACATGTTATGTTCTAGAATTTGCAAAATCTACTCGTTACCACTCTGATTCGAAGGAAGCTTCACTCTATTGCACAAGGTAATTTTATTCCTTTGATGGCCTTATTGTGCAATAATATATCTCAAAGCTTCCTGATCTCTTGTCATTGTTACACCACTTACCACTTTGCTTCTTTCTTTGTCGATGGCCATTAGGCCATTCATGTTAGATCGTTGCGCCTTAAATGTGAATGACTTTTTTGCATTTTGATGCTCCTTCAAGGCACTCTCACATGAGACTTCAAATAATCTTCCTCGGGATAGAGATTAGAATGGTTACTTTGAAACTTGCTGAGACTTCATCTGAGGGATACGGATCATATCAGAATTGTCGATACATCTCAGGGTGAAAAGATGAAGCATCGAGTGGCGCACTCAAATTTTGGTGGTGAATTCTGCCTTCTGGTAGACTCGGCCATGCGTTCCAAGGTCGGTCAGTTTTCATGAGATCTTTTTACTGCCCATCCGTGTAAAAATCTTGGTGCTGGGAAACTGCAATTTTTGGTAAGAGTCTTAACGGTGCACATCTTTGCTTCGTGGCTGCAGTGTCGCTCGATACAAGGAAGGAAGAACCACGCGAGGTGTAGTAATTTTTCACCTCACTTGAGAATGCAGGGACAGCGATACTGCAGGTATCGAAGCTTTTAATAGTTATCCTATTTGTCGTACAGTAGCAAACGCAAACATTTAATGTCTTTGGTGAAAGAGTAACGACTCATAGTGGTAGTCAATGGAAGTTATATTTTAACACGAGAATTCGAACCTCAAGTCAAGGAATCCAATTTCAATTATCGGTTTCATGACCGGACAGGTACGAATTCATCCATTGTATGATTAAAAGAATATATGGTACCATCCAAGGATGGCCCGAATCTCGATTTAGGTACAAACCGATGCTTACGATTTTTATTTCTTTGCCTATGTTTCCAACGAGAAGGACAACTTTGCAACAGGCTCACAAGTAAAAAGCTTGTCCCTGCAATTTACCGTTGTACCTCCTGCTTACAGAGACCATGGAACCACTCACTACATCACATCAGATCAAGTCCTCAACTGAGCAATTCAATGGCGCGACGAAACAAAAGCAGAATCCAGTTTGATCTCACTTTTTATCTGCTTCTGCTCATGCTGGTGGTGGCGCAGGCAGGCAGCAAGGCAGGGCGGGCCTTATCCAATGGTGAGTGGTGTGGTCGTGGGAGAAGACAAGTGGAGCGTGAGGCCCGGAGAATATTGTATTCTCCGGCCTGCCTTGCACACTGCCCAACAGCCAACAACAAGACGGGTACGTAACTCTTTCTCTCTCTCTGCACGCAGCTTGTCCCACCACCGTCACCTTCCCCAAGAAAAAGACTCAACCAACCCACATGACTCACAGAGATGAAGATTGGCACCAGTAGACTAATACATAGGTCCCTAAGTACAAGACTACAAATCATCACACACCACGGTTAGCATCATTACACTACAATTAGTAGGTGAGCAGACTTGAGCTGATTGGGCGTTCGAACCATGATCTCTGACTCCACCACCAGTTCTACATATCGTGAATACTCGCATCAATCCTGCCTCAACCCACCACCTTGTTGTTCCTTCTTTTTCCTATGGCGGGTTTTCAACCTCTTCGCGGCGTGGATGAAGCCGACGATGACCTGCATCTCATCCACTTGCTTTTTTTTTTGGGCGCAAGTGGATGACTGGCGTTTTAGTTTCTTCATGCATGCATGGAGCATAATGAGTGGAACAAGTACCTGCGAGAGGAAGTGATTCTGCACAACGTGGAGCAGCTGCTCCTTTGTGGGTTTGGGGTTGATGCCCACCTGTTTAGCAGTAGGGAATTTGATGTTAGAAAGCTGCGCAGGTAGCAAACCGAAGATCTAATGAACACACAAGTTCTTTCAGGCAAAAAAAAAGAAACATACAAGATTGAAGCGCCTCCAATATCTCAGTAAGGTTGGTGTTCCAAGCTTTGCCAAGTTTACCCTCTGTTCATAGTCTACAAAGTGTAAGCACAAGTTCTCAAACACACTAAAAATGCTTAATTTTTCTCAACCACTCCTGAATTCAAACTATGCAAATGCAATATGTATTTTCTCACCGTTTGAGAGTTGTGACCATTAGAATGAGTTGTGTCTCGATAGTTGCTGCTTCGGCCATTTGACTTTGCTGAACATGTCCATGGCCTGGTGTGCCTAACCCTTGGCTTTGTCGGCTTATGAAACTCTAAGCAAGCTGTCAAACAAGGTAATTTAATGAAATAATAATAATAATAAGTAACTATTGGTTTTAGTTCACTTCCAAACAACAAAAATATTACCCTACCTTGTACACCACTCACAAAACAAAAGGATACCCCTAAAAGTTGTACTCTTTACTCGTAGCGAGTTAAAGAAAGAGTAGTTGACAATTAGTAAACTGTGAAAACTTACAGTAATCGATGTCTTTGTCTCCCACATCTGAACTACTGCAGAACGAGTTGTCATAGTCAATCTCATCGTCCTCGTCTTCATTTCCTGTAGGAGCTTCTAAGACGCTCAATGCGTTTCTTTGAAGTTTCACCTCCACCCCATTCTTTAGGACCTGATCACATGTATGCAAATTGTCTTAGCATATAAATTTTTTTTCCCAAGGCATTCAAATACAGATAATGACAAGCATATCCGGTCAAAACTTTTAGAAATGACAGATCCGTGAGCTAGCAAAACAATGTGTCTTGCACCTTCATGCATTTCTAAACCTATTGACAAAATGCACAGAGGAATGATGATGAAAGTACAGAAACCAGTGAGTGGATGGTGGTTAAAGAAGTGAGATTTAAGTGACTTTGGAAATGGTTGGCTTAGTAGAATGATGTCTGTCTTGCAAGAATTCTTCTAAAGACTCGAATTCTAGGAATAGGTAATAATCATTCTCTGGTAACATTCAATGATTTTGATCCCTGTGATGCAAAGAACTAGAGTGTGTGAATTCCAAGCACAATGTTCTTAGGCAAGAGGAAACAATTACTCACCAGCCAGTGCCAGCCACCAAGACCAACAGCTTTCTTGACAACACCTTGAAGCCCAACTAGAACAGACTTTGTTCTGTTGTTACCAGTTACGATGACCTTGGTGTGCCTGGGAAGCACCGAGAGCTCTTCATCACCACTTTCCTCCCGCGACGGAGATAGGGTCCGGGCTGAACACAGCTCGGCCTCCATGATTCGCATCAAGTTCTTGCCACCTGATCCAACCAGTTAAGAAACCATCAAATTTCTTTGGTAGAACAGAGACCCACTCACCCTTGGAACTCCAATAAATACTGCATCGAATCAAACAAGGAGAGGGGAATTCGCCCAATTCCAACTGCCCCCCCCTTTTTTGCTGGCCAGTTTCAATTTACGCTAGAAATTAGTATGATAATGACAGCACCAACACAAATCAATGCATCATGCAAGCTTGTGACTATGGCAACAAGCCGGTCGACATCCAAGAAAATTAGTCTCCGAAGCCAAACGTTTCTAATTACCGATCTAGGAACCGATCAAGTCATTGTGATCGATGTAACTGTGCATGGTGATCAACAGATTCCACAAACTCACCTGATTCTACAGAATGTTCCTGGATGCTTCCCCCATTTCAGATTAGAGAAGAAAGGAGAAGCGTAAGCTCGCGCTGAATAGTTTATCCGAGAACATGTGGAGGTAGCATATGTATTAGCATCAGAAATCACTCCATTCTATGCTAACCCACATCATGATATTGATCTCTGCAAGATTTCGAATTTAGAAACAAAGGGAAGGGGGGCAGAGTAGAACAGGCGAGCAAGCTAGATTGATCGCAAGCGAAAATGCATCAAATCAGAATCCAGAATCAGAAACAAGAGAATCCGACCGAGGAAAGAACGTTTCTTCTACCGATTAAAATTCCAATACGATTTAATGACTCAGTTCAGAATCCATAATCTCAATTCTTTGCAGTCGTTAGACAAATGCAATCACAGACCAGAACGAAGCATCAAGAAACCAAAGCGAACGAAGACAAAGCTCTACGATCCGAGACGCCGTACCACAATGCTGCGAGCAGAGAACCGAGCCCGACGCGGCCGTCGAAATGTGAGGGTTTAGCGAGGAAGAACACGAAACCAGGGTTCTATTGAATCAACGAACGCAAAATGACTCCTGATCGGCCGGGAAATCGGCGGATCTGCGAGAATTGGAACCGGCGAGGGGATTCTTGGGGGGAGGAGGAGGGGAGACGAGGAGGAGGAGGAGAGCAAGAGAGAGAGTGGGGGGAGAGAGAAGGAGCAAAGAAGAGAGAAGAGTAAATGGCTTACAACTGCTAAATTAGCATTAAAACGTTTCCCACCGGCTCTCAAGGAACCTTCCAGGCCAAAGCCGGTCTCGCGGCCTCGGCTCGGCTTTGGCGCTCGGCTCGGGAGGTCTGTAAACCATATCGGTGTTACGAAGTGTAACGGACCGCACATGGTACAAATCTCACGTGCTCTCCTGAAACCCACGTGACTCCTACTATCTCCCTCCATATAGCTTACTAATAGTGTCTTTATAACATGGAAGAATCACTCCAACTAAACAAGATTGATTGAATGTCGTTGATAGGCTGGATTGAATAAATATCCATCCAATACATAGTCAATAAGTAGAATATCGTAAAAAATTCATCCTAATTCACCTTTTAATCACATAAATATTAGTTATATATATATATATATATATATATATATATATATATATATATATATATATATATATATCATAGAATATTTTTCTGGATTAAGGAATTGATCAAAAAAATCATCAATTTTTGTATCAATATTTGTTTGTGAATAAATATGTTGTGGATGGTGAGTCAGTATGGCCTGATCCATGGGTCGATGTCGAGAGTCTTTGCTCGATTGAATGGGTTGTCGAGATCGATCACACCCATGGGTCGGGATGCTAGTTGGTGTCTCTCAATCGAGAGGATCACGCTTCTAGAGGTGGTCGCGCTCCTGCACAGAAGGCCTACGTCGGGGGTTCTCGATAGTGGCCCATCGGTGAATGAGTTAGTACTCCTCTTTTTTGTTTTTTTTTTCTCCTCTAGTTAGATATCAGTCAGGAGTTTTTATACTACTGTTTGAGGGTCGATCACCGCGGGTTTCGCACGACGACCGGAACCCGAGAGACAAGATGGTACATTCGTGCGATAGTTATCCCGGAATGCGTGGAACTACACCATACGATGTTGTCCTGAGCTTTTCGGGACAAGAGGTACACGGTGCCATCCCGAGTTTTTCGGGACGGGATGTACTGGAAAGTGCCTTGGTACGAATCCTGTTTTGCACGTGAGAGTACTTTGCTGACTTGATGAGGGAAGTGGTGTGCATCGATGGTGACGTAACTGGGATCCAAAATATATCATAGAATATTTTTCTGAATTAAGGAATTGATAAAAAAAATCATCAATTTTTATATAAATATTTATTCAAAATAGATGGCCACCGCGTACAGTTTGCGGGCTCGGCGTACGGGCGCAGAGAGGCCACGTGACTCGCGGGCGGAGCCTCTTCGCCGGCTCTAAAGGCCGAGCCAAGCCAAGCCAAGTCGAAGATGGACGCTCCTCGGAGCCCGAGGGGACAGTGACAAGGACACGTGTAGCCATCCAGCTGTCGGTATGGGGCCCGCCAGGCTACGTGATAGACGACCTGCGACCGGGGGCCCGCTCGTCGACTCCGCCGTGAGGCGCGCTCGCATGGGAACAACAGCACCGGACTCGCGCGCTCTCTCTCTCTCTCTCTCTAGGGCGGTCTTCAAGTCCGGGCTTTGGGGGGCATTTGGAGTCCGGATGGCTGTTGGCGGCCACTAAATTGAGCCCGATAGATTTCCCGGTCTTGGATTTCAAACCACAATAAACCCTAAACGAAGTGGAAGGACAAGAGGAGGAGAAGGGGAAGAGGGAGAGAGAGAGAGAGAGAGAGAGGCACATGCGTCG